AAGACTATAACCATCTTTCAAATAATATTGATTTAATTACATCCCCTCTTCGATTTTCTTCACCTGTGCTTGTATCATTAGAAGAATGAAAGGCCAAATACTAATTCGAAAACGGCAACTTTGTCTATTGATTATTGTTCCATTCATCTTATTTTCCATAGGTACACTTGGAGGTCAATATCGAAAAAGTGTCAATTTTTTGAGGTTAGGTCAATTGGATTTTTTCATCAGTTCATTCCTATCTACAACATGCCAAAAATTCAACCATTTTCAAATACTTTTTTTTGTCGAAAAAATGACATCGGAAAAACTGTCCATTTTTTGAGTTTCCTTCAATGGAATATCTGTTCAGTATATCAAAGTCTGCAACATACCAAAAATTCAGCGATTTTCATCGAGAGCCATTTTCCCTATAGTTTAGTGCGGTTTGCAGATATTTCTATATGTGGAAACTGGAGTAATGACTCGGAAATATACCTATATTATATATTTAAAAAAGCTTTTTAAATACTTCGGGACCTTGAGTTATCAAAGTTTCAGACATCCACTTGGTCTCAAAAGTTCTGTAGTCCTGAAAATTTTTCATTTCATATAGGATGTACCTCAATGGCGAAATTAGATGAGAAAATTGAAAATTACAACATTTCAACTGCTATAGTGCTATTCAATTGATCCTGGCATAATCCATCATTTTTTGCTATAAAAATTACATTGCATCTCATATAAATATGAATATATTCATTAACATTTACAATGAAATAACATGAATAATCATATAGATTCATATCTGGTATGAGATTATTCATGCATTATTAAATTTAATTATAGTTATTGAAATAAACAACAGAATATGAAAAAAATAAATAAAACAAAAAGCTCATGAAAAGTACATTATGACATGATGAAATAAATTAGTCAATGAGAAATCATTCACTCAGGTTTGATTTTCCCTTTGCAAGAGGATATGTTTCTTGACTTTGATTTTGAATTGGGTGATATTTGTGCAACTTTTGATATCATCAGGTAATTTATTGAATTTTGAGATAGCTCCGTGAGTGAACTTTTTCTGACCAAGTGTAGAATGAGCAGCATCAAGATGAAACAAGTCATAATGTCTAGTATGATGTTCATGGTTTTGAGAATTCCTTACGAATATGAAGTTAGATTTGAGGTGTTTTTTTATAATATCAAAAGTAATTTTGAGAGTATTTATCAGATAGTGCTCTTACAAAGAAAATGTATTTGTTCCTTCATAAAGTTGATTTGATGGGGTGTCATATGGAAGACGATACAGTACTTTTAATGGTTTTTTATAAAGTACAGATATTTTCATAAAATTATTCTTGGAACATGAACCCCAAATATTTATGAGATAGTTCATTTTACTAAGGATGTGAGAGTATTTGCTATATGTTTTGGACATCTTCTTAGGGCACCAAATATGTGGGAATTTTTTTCTTTGAGCATGCCAATAAGCTTGACCCATGTTAACTTTTCATCAATCCAAATACCAAGGTATTTGGTAAATGCAGTTTGTTTCAATCTTTCATTATTTATTCTTACCTCTCTCTTATTTTCTTATTATTCAAACCAATATTTTGTTTATTTCTTTGATGGAAAATTATATATTGGGTCTTATCAGAATTAATGGAAAGCCATTCTTCCATTTTTTTCATATCCTCATTTATGTTGTTTGCTGAAATTACATTGTTTTTGTTTCCAAAAAAAAATACTGCATCATCTAAATATATGGCATGGTTTCCTATTAAATTTATTTTTGAAATGTTTAGAATGTATAACAGATACAGAAATGGGCTCAACACTGATCCTTGAGGAACACCTTTGTTTTTATATAGTATTTTAGATTCACAATTATTGATATTAGTACTGATAGTCCTTTTTTCTAAATATAATTCATACATTTGTTGTAAATATCTAAGCTGGTTCAACATGAGGGTCTATATAGGAATTTTGGTTCAATTTTCATTACCTGTACAGTGTTTCTATGTGCCTTCAACTGAACAAGTAATTTAGGGTCTCTTGCTGTAACATCATGCATTTCTACCACATCTGGTCTATGTACCAATTGTTTTAATTCTGCCACACTCAATCTAGTGAGTTTCTTCATTTTTCTTTTGGATAGCTTTGACTTATCATCATTTTTTTTCTGCAAATTGCACATTCCCCATAAATACAAACATGATGGAAAATACTATTTGATACCTACATCATCCAAATCATCATATTCATCAACATCTTCACTTGGAATGGCTTTACTTGAAAGTGAGGTCGGCAAAGCTAATACTGGTGGTGCTATATCAGCTTTCAGATCAGATATTTTGAAGGATTCAAATATACTATAGAACTGTCTATATTGTGGTGCTAATTCATGCAGACCAATAGTTTCTTGTATGTATCTACAAAAAATTACATTTGAAACACACTTTCACCAATATAAAGAAATCAACAATTCAGTTCTAGTCTGACAAACATTAGAATATTATCCTAACAGGAGAGGAAATAAACAGCTAATTACTGGGTTAATTCACTTCCTAGGATAATAATGAAATTATATCATAATTATAATTGTTTGATATGCAGGCAGCTTCAAATTATTAATTCTTATTACAATGTGTAATTATTCTTTTAAAGAAAATATTCAACAGTGTTCAAACAAATGATCAGAGATTTGAACATTTTCATTTTCATATCATGAATCATGTTATCTATTGAAAGAAAGAAAATATTGATAAAATCTTGAAATTTTTCAACATAGCTTTTACAATAGAAATTGTCAAGGGAGGGGTGAAAATATAGTGTTTGACCCTGTACACTTTCCCCGGTAGCTTCTTATACAGGGTGTAACATCCAAAATGCACATCAAAATCATTTCAATGATATTCTATGCTTACTCGATTTCAATGTCTTCATCTGTTTGGTCATCTACACATCCTTTGTCCACTGCTCCTTTCAAATCATCATTGTTATCCTTCTGCTTATCATCATTTTCTCTCTCCTTCTTGTTTTTCCTCCTCTTCTTTTTCTTTTTGTTTTTACTTACCTTATCTTTTTCCTTTTGTTGTTTGGCTGACACTGTTTTTGGTATGGTATTTTCTATAATTGGAATATCCTGTAACATATTTCAACAGATAATTTTTATTCTACAGGAACAGGATTTTATAAATGAAAACATCAAGTAATGTATTGTTTGGCAATGACATTCATTATTGGAAAGAAATATACTAATATTATAAAGAGGAAAGCTTTGTTTGTATTAAATAGACACCAAAACTACTTGACCATTTGAGGAATTCTTTCACCATTAGGAGTTAACATTATCCCTGATGAACATAAGCTACTTTTTATGGTGAGAAAATGCTTCATTCCTATGGAAAAACAGGTAATATTACAAGGGGTAGTATAGCAAGGATTATCCTTCCCTAGTTATCTTTTTCACATAACTTCTAGTCTTCTAAATGGCTGAACCTAATGGGTTTAAATTTTATATGGGTATTTTAATGGTTTAAAATGGAGTTGCTGCCTGTACATCAACTACTAAAGGCTTGACTGCTTGGGTTGAAATTATAAATACCTAAAACCACAGAAAAATACAAATTGAGAGAATGAAAATAGGTGTAAATAGTGACTATAAAAAAATAACACAAAAATATGTAATGCAGATAGGTGCATGACTTATTGCAATGACTTATTTTTTTAAATGGTTACACCAACCATGAGAAACCAGGACAGACAGCTAGTTATTTAAAAACTAGATTGAACTAGATTATTTTGTTGTATTGAAAGATAGAAAAAACTGGCAGTCTCATCCTTGTTTGATTTGATAGCTGTATAATTGTCCTCTCACCTCTACCACAGCATTATCATCTTTTTCCCATAGAGGCTCCCTTTCAGGTTCTTTTTGTTGTTGTTTGCTCTGTTGGTTACCAGTTCCATCATTGTCTGTACCAAGTTCTAATACTCTCTGATTTTTCAAAGCAAGAACCTCCTCCAAAGCTTGGGGAAGAACAACTTCTGAACTACCCTCCATGAGTTGTTCAGGTGGATCAACCTTCAATGACAACAATGAGGGTAGCTGTTTTTCATTTATTGGAGGTGGTTGCATTATTGCTGGTGGTGGTCCCATAGTAGCTAGAAGAGATTAAGATTTTATATAGAATACTAACTCCATAGATCATCTGAAGTTGAAAAATAGGGTAAATGGTTATGAACTTCAAGAAGTTATGTTGTTATTCATTAGTAGTTGCTAAAATCATAAAAAATGTCACTCACAAAAATCATCACTTGGCCATCCTTGAGTTCCAGGAGGACCAAAATTGGATGGTGGTGGACCCATGATGTTATCAGGTACACCAGGTGGTCCTGGAGGAGGTCCTTGAAGCATATTCATATTGTCAGGACCAGGTGGAGGCATTTTCATCATATCAGGATTCATTAGTAATGGGGGTGGTGGCCCTGGGGGTGCCTAAAAAAATTATAAATTAAACTATACAAAATGAATAATTTTGCGAATATCTTACATTTCCATGATCACTCATGATAGTTTATCAAATATCTTGATACTTTTGTGAGTATTCTATTGTACTGTATCAAAAACCGAATGAAGATTGAAGAACAAGAACACAAACAGATCAGACAAGCTTGACACAAGCACCAAAATAATAATCTAACCTCACTCCTCCTTCTTCCTTCTTCAACCTGTCATTCCTCTTCTCTTCTTCTCAACGTTTCTTGGCCTCTTATCTAGAGTTGGACATCTAGCCACATTTCTCTTATCATTTTATTCGTTACAAGCACGTTACGAGTAAATGAATCCATCAAGGTGTTCTATTTCATCTCTTCCACCTGGATTATGTCCCTTAAGAACCAAGTATTTTAATAGTTAAGACTTTAAAATGCTAAGACCATTCGAGACAATAGACAGAGACACGTCCACAGAGCACAGAACACAAAGTTACAAGTCCACGTCACAGTTCACAGTACAGTTTGGAGGTTAAGATTTGAAAACAGAAAAATTAGTTGTCTTTTTGGTTTTGCAGTTTTGCACTGAATTTTTCCAAACATGGTTTCATTATTGAATTCAATAGATACTGGTCATGAAGACATGATACATGATGCAGAGGTGGATTATTATGGCCTTCGTTTAGCTACTTGCTCATCAGACAATAGTGTAAAGGTATATGATATAAAAAACGGTGCTTCAACTCTACTAGATGACTTGAAAGGCCACTTCGGGCCTGTGTGGCAAATAGCATGGAGCCATCCTAAATTTGGAAATCTCTTGGCATCCTGTTCCTATGATAGAAAAGTAATTATCTGGAAAGAACAACAAAGAAAGTGGTTGAAATACTATGAGTATGCAAACCATGATTCCAGTGTTAACTCAGTTCAGTTTGCTCCTTCTGAGCTAGGTCTTATTCTTGCCTGTGGCAGTAGTGATGGATCTATTTCAATCCTCACCTATAATCCAGAAACAAACAATTGGGATGCCAAGAAAATTCAAAATGCTCATGCCATTGGCTGTAATGCTGTTAGTTGGGCCACTGCAATCACACCAATTGGCAATGGGGAAACTGATCTACAAAGTCCACCTGTAAAACGATTGGTTTCTGGAGGGTGTGACAATCTGGTCAAGATATGGAGAGAAGATGGAGACAGGTAATATTTTTGAATATTTCATTGAATGAGCCCTAACCTCATGTCATTTAGGTGGGTGGAGGAATCAAAACTGGAAGTTCATTCTGACTGGGTTAGAGACGTAGCCTGGGCTCCATCTGTTGGACTTCACAGGTACACAATTGCCAGTTGTTCTCAAGATCGCAGAGTAGTAATCTGGACAAGTAATGATTGTATCAATTGGAACTCAAATGTTTTGCATACTTTTGATGATGTTGTGTGGAATGTTAGTTGGTCTCTGAATGGAAATATACTGGCTGTATCTGGTGGAGATAATAAAATTACTCTCTGGGATCAGAATACTGAAGGAGTTTGGCAGTGTATAAGTGATGTAGCAAAGGGCCAAGGACAAATCAATAATCAATGATTGATAAGTAGTGTTATAGTGTAATGTAAGAATATTTCATAATAGATTTTAGGGTATTTTTTTGGTATTCTGATGATTTAAAGTTGTCATTTTAAATAATATATAACTTGTAAATTTGCAATTTATTTTCTTTCATCCTCAGGTAAAAATTCTCATTAATTCATGATATAATAAATAATCCTCACTTTAAAAAAAGCAATACTTACCATGCCACATCAGGATAAGTCCATGAAGGGCATTAAATGGCTCAAATTTGGAATAGTAAAGACAGCTACTAAAGCTACAACTCAGAAACTTTCAGAAGATATTGGTCAGTTCAAGAATGAACAGTGATATTGTTGAACTTTGACTAAGTTTTCTCATCAGTGAACCCTCATAATTCAAGGGAATGTAATGTAAGTTTATTTTATCATAATAATTTGAGCATCACTTCATTGATTATGAAAATCAAGAAGAAAATATATATATGAAAAGTGAGAGATAAATATGAGTATATATCTTCAAGTGATTCAAGATACAAATTCAAAAACATAATGAACATTAATTTGAAGTCAGAAAATTTGTTTTTCCTGAATTTTTTGATTATTGATATCTAGTTGTTTTTGTTATTCTTCAAGTCAGGCATTTGAGATAAGAAGTGGGTACCTATTGAAAATTGAGAGCAACTGAATTTTTTTTCTATGGAAAAGGAGGTAAAAAGAAGAACCACAATATGCTAAATTATAAGATTGCATAAAAATTGCATGATTTCATTGATTTGTTGAGTAAGGACTTGATTATTTGTATCAAGTTAAGATGACTATATCACCCCTATATCAAGTCAACAAACAATGATTAAGGTAGTGAATGAAAAACATTCAATTGATAAATCAAGTACCTATTAAGTGAAATGAAATTGTACATAATAATCTATTATTACTGATGACTTCATACATTACATAACTTTCTTCCTAATCAACTTTCCTTTTCTCTTTCTGCTTTGGTCTTATGAATAGGTTTTGTTTTGCCTCTCAATGCCCGCATTCTATCCATTTCATCTTGGAAATCTGCATGTTCATCTCTGTATAAACCATAATACCGAAGTTTAATCATGAGTTTTCCAAGTTCTACATGTCTTGGGTAATAGCTGTGAACTTCCCTACGTAGATGAACTGGCTGTTCACTGAATAGTTTCACTACCCTCATGGATTTGGAATTTGTTGATCGAGCCACTTCTCCGAATATTCTGTTGCTTAATCGGTTCATCCTTCTGGCATATTCGGTAGTTTGCTTCACTAAATCTGAATATCTGGCGTATCTACTCATTACAAAATTCTCAGTTATTTTTCAATTTTCCAAAATTTTTATTTCTTATTATCGATCAGTTTGGTTAGTTTCGTTCTACTTTTTTTTTCATGATTTCATGGCCTCAGATACCTACCCTACAACCACCCTACAACAATTACAACTTTTCTTCTATTTGAAGGACGTATATACTGTACTCTCCGAACCACATTTGACATTTCACATAATTTTCAGAAGCTCACCGGAATACCTAAGGGCCCCAGAGGGCCGAAGTAAAGTGAGGTAGAAGCATTTGTTGACCTGTAGTAGAAGAGTAGAAGTAGGTTTTTATTTTGAAGTTGATTTTGAGGTTAATATTTAATTTCTGTGATAAGGATTCCTCCAAGCCTTTGAAACTTGTATTTTATTGATCTCAGAATTCTCAGACGAAATCAAATATATATCTTTAGGTTTGTTGTCTATATTGCGTGCTAGCTGCCTGATTAGTATATTACTTTTCAGCTTTGAACCACAGGCTTGAACACCAAATTCACTCATCAACCACTGCCAGAAAAATGTACATTTACAGAAGTTGTTTCCTTATATTCTTTCTCTGTTACAACATCAAAGCTATCACTGAAGAAGATGAAGGTGTTAAGTATGCAAACAAATGTGAAGGTAATCCGGATAATAAAAAAAATCAATTCATCTTTGAAATTTCAAATGAACTAGTTTTACAATCAGAAAAAATAATACAAATTCTGACGGCTTGCATTGTAGTCTCTAGAATCCCTAATAATAAGAAGTTTTATTTTCTTTAGTTTGTAAAATTCTTGCAACTGAGCTAGAAGGAAGGCTGAAAGAAACTGGTAAAACAAGTGAGGTAATTGAAACTGGGTATGCAGTGGATGATGTAAAACCTAAAAAGAAAAAAGAATATAAAAAGTCAGAATTGAGATTGGTAGAGTCTCTAGAGGGTGTATGTGATAGAATATTAGAATACAACATTCACAAAGAGAGAGAAGACAGTACAAGATTTGCCAAAGGCATGAGTCAAACATTCAAGACATTACATGGATTGGTTGATAAAGGAGTCAAAGTTGAACTGGGTATTCCATTAGAGTTATGGGACAAACCTAGTGCTGAGATAACAAATATGAAAACACAGGTATAGTAGTCTTAATTTTTCTGAATAAATCAATTTTTTTGAGATTTGAAAACATGAGGTACTTATGTTATTATATTAACATATGCTCAATTTCCTCAAACAACCATTTTCATTCAGTGAGAAATATTGTCCAAAAATGATCTTGAATTTTAGTGTGAATCATTATTAGAAGAAAATGAAGGTGATATAGAAGATTGGTATTTCAATTATCAAGGAAAAGACTCTCTTAAAAAATACCTTTGTGAAGATAGGGCTCTGAAAAATCAAAATTCCAAGTGCCTTTATGAACAGCTAAAGGGAGAAACAGGAAGTAAGAGACCTTCATCCAATGAAGAATTGTAATTATTGACTAAATAATCTCAGGAATCTGAGCAGGTTTGCCTCAGTGCCTATAGTGATGCCAAAAATCCAAGAAAAATGTAGACATGCATTTATTAATATTTTAGTACCTTGCTCTCCTTCTAAACTGTTTTATGTATATACTTTTTTACATTCTATTTTCATCATCAGTCAATATGACTTCTGATTCTTCATGTTTGTGATTATATAGAATAAAATGATTTGATTATACTTGGGTTCTTCATACCTACCTAAACATTATTTCCCAGATTTTTTGTCTCCTTTTACTTGGACTGAGTTGCACTGATTTTGAACAGAAGAAACTTCATTTATTTATTTGAAACAATTTAACTTTTAAATGTTCAAGTAAAAAGGTTCAGTCATGCAAAATGTGGCAGAATGAAAAATTTGTGTAAAGTATCACCAATTCTTAGCTGAATTTCACAGTACTTGGATCAAAGGGACCACTAAAAGGTGATCCATTTACATTCCATGCTTTTTTAAGTGTGGCATTAAGTGCTAATTCTTCTGAAGTTGGTAACCCTAACTTCTTTCTCTCTTGATTCCACTGTAGTTCTTCTATTTTTGATTGTGCTTCTTCTGGTAATTCATCATATGACCTGGAACAATCTATTTTTGAAATATCTAATTCTTTCTCGCCCTTAACCAAACATTTCCACCAAATTTCCTGACATTTCTCTAGATGTATTAGTAATTTATTATCATCAATGGACCATACTGCTTCATTTGCTTTACATTTTTGAAACAATTCACCATCAAAAATTAAACCATCTTGTCTTGTTTTCAAAGATATTGTACATGGATGGATTGTTACCAACAAATCTTTTCTTGATATTTTGTCTGGTATTTTTATGATTAAATCTATCTCTGCAATTGTCTGTGACCAACAATAGTTGTCAAACTTGCTTCCATTATAACTCTCAGAGTCTGTAAATGGGCAATCATGATTCAAACCAACTTTCTTTGTAGCACCAACAACTTCACTGACAGTGGGTTCACTATGTTCAATTTCAGGCACAATAATTTCTTCCTCAGCAATAGGGATATCTTTTTCAGAATATTCTTTCTTCTGAATTTGAGGTTTCCATTTGTAGAATGAGTACCTCACCAACTTTTCGGCTAACCCTTCAGGTAAACCAACAACAGCATCAAGTTCATTGGCGACGTGATAAAAATCCGTTCTATGAAATTATTATATGAATTTCATAACTGGACAGTTCAGAAACTCACCTTCTTTGTAAGAATCCAAAAATTTGATCCAAGAAATTTGGTAGCGTCTTACATTCCTTCAGAAGTTCAAATAGAATATTGTCCTGAATTTCACTATTGGACATTTTGAAATGATTTCAATTTTTCAACATAAAACAATGAATGTATTGCCAAATACAGCCTAGAGCACTATGGTACAAAATAATGTTACTATAATAGTATAATATAATACCACAAATTGAAATAGAATATTAATATAGTGAAAATTTGAAAAATTTTCAAATCCCAACAAATGTCAATGACAATCGCAAATGTCAATTTCTACAAAGTGTCAAGTGTTGCCAACTTAGATCATAAGCATTTATATGATCTAAGGTTGCCAATGGAGGATTTGCACTATTAGTGTCTAGAGACCAGATGCACCAAATAATTTTCGTGTGGTGGAACGTTACTTACAGCGCAGAGTAGGCCCTGGCACAGATCACAAGATCACCCAACCACGACGCGCGAGACCAAATGAGTCCCTGTTCCATACTGTGCTAAAATGCATGCGGGACAAACGTTGCAGCGAAACAATAATAATAATTATTATTTGTTGTGAAATGTAACAAATAATACAACTACTTTCCTAGTTAATACCATGTTATTTTTCATCGATGTAGGTTGGGGCATTTTCAAGGCACTCATCAGAAGTTCTCCTGGGTGATTCCTAATATGATTTCTATGTGAGGTTTCAAAAAAACAGACACATCTAAACAGCGTTTTTCGAACGTAAATAACTATTTACTCGAAAACGGTATATCCTGTTTCTTATTTTTAACCGCATAATTGTCTACCTACCGGAGCTATTGAATGTTCCAAAATTTGTTGTTAATCTGAATCCATTATTGTTCTCGAGGTAGGAAAGATATGAGGTCGCGTGCGAAACCTAACAAAGTAAACCAGTATACGTAATACACCATAAGGTAGTGAAGAATATCATTATTACCCACGGACCAAGATTATATTCCTATAGGTTTCAGCCGAGCCGAGGGGTGTATATACTTTCCTTTACTATTAACTACTTACTTTGAATATTTTTCACCACTATCAATATAATTATGTGAATATATTTCAACCATTTATATGTCACTATGAAAGCGCTTCTTTTCAATTTTAATTAAGATCGAGTAGCCATGATCATGAGTCATGACAGCTTACATGAGCAGTTTTTATTAATAAATACCTACTAGATTCGAATGCCATTCCTGTAAATTTCGCATTAGCACAGTGTATTCGGGTTGATTTTAAAACAGAGGCTATATATGTCTTCATTGACTTGTTTGTTCACGAAATGACAAAAACTACCTTGGTATAGTGAAAACATACTTTATACGCTTTGAAAAGAAGTGAATTAATAATGATGGTATGTTCTATAAAGCTATATAGTGATGGAGAAAACTTTTGATAAGGGCCTTGCTGCTTTTATGGAATTATGGACTGCAGCGCCTAGGTCCATAAAAGCAATAAGTTGACTACGCCCGGAATACTTACAACATTTTATGCGCGAGCGTTTTTCACTCTTGTTTACTGTGAATCTGGAATTTATTAATGACATCATCTTGAATCCATTTTGCCAAATCATGTATGTCACTGGCAAAGAAAGATCGAATGGTAGTCTGCTTGAAATTACTGAAAAAACAGTGAAATTACTTCACCGCCCGATCACATACTTCACCACCCAATCATCTACTTTACCGCCCGCCGGACTGTACCACCAGCTGTACTCATTTACCGCCCTAGGGCGCAAAATTGCTACTTCACGCCCGCGAATAAGAGAAATAAAGTGCCACTACGTCAGATAGGGTTTGTGCATTAAATATCAAATCATATCTCTATTCCTCAGACATATCATGATATCCGGATTGTTCACTTGACATTTTTTCACTAATACTTTTTGACTTCATTAGAATACCTTAAAAAAATCGGCGCCCTTTCACATTCTTCCGTTAACAAAACTATCGTTCGTGTATGTAGAACGGCAAAGCTATGAAACTGTTTTCCAATAGGAGTAAAAGCTTTATACACTCCGAAAGTTCAAAAAAAAAATCAAACACCTACCTCCTCTCCCTACCCTCCATATGATACGCACGATGTTCTTCGAACATCATAGGATTTTTCTTTCGTACGCTTCAAGAGATAACAGAATATATAATATGATCACTTACCTGAACTATGAAATTCAATTTTTTAATTGTAAATAAAAGATCTTTTTTAGAACAAGTGATTCGACCGTACGGGATGGAAACAAGAATGAGTATGAGTAATAGTGCATGGCTTAAAGCTTAATGCTTGATTCACTATCCTGATGACTTAAATTAGTTACGTCACCCATTTAACCGAGCAATTCCCAAGTATAAAGTAAGTATATGGAGCGGTGAATAAATTTGATACACACTGTCACCAATAATCTAGGGTCATTCATGAACCGTTTTTGTATGCATTAGTTCTCTTGAATAATTTATGGAAATTATGAAACAACTAAAACACTACAGGTTGTAAAATGTGCATGTGCGGAGAAAATCGAAATGTCTCACGTTTGTAGACATGCCTTTTTCACCAATAATGAAATCGAAATCATACGTTGTTATGTTCCATAAATATTCTTTTCTCGTATAGTTGGCTAGATGAATTCTTCAGTTCAGACAAAACAGACAATAACTGTAGCAGTTTTCATTGCCATCTACATTGTCTGGCCATCTATATGACAAGTTAGTGTCTATTTGTCGTGGTGACATGAATGTTATATCCACACTCAAGAATGTTGTGAGAACAAATATCTCTGAAGTACATTGGTCATTGAGACTCGGATCACCCAGTATATTCAGAAAATTGAAGCGATACTAATAATTCCTCAAATTCATGCTATCGTTACGGGAAATTTTTCGACCAACTATATTTTATAATTATTTATTCATTGTATATGAATCTAATACATTGTGGTTCTTAAAAAAATAAATATAAATATAAATATAAGTAGATTAAAAATCTGGAGGTGGTACTTGAGGTGGCAATTTCTTCCGGTTCTCATCATAGTTCTTCAGCAGTGGCTCAAGAGCTGGATTTTCCGCATCTGTTATCTTCTTTCTTCGCATCCCGCTATGTTTGAGAGAACCTTCGAAATTCCTTTTTTGACTGCGGCTTGTATTACTATTCCATAACACAATCACAACGACGAGCAGCAAAACGAATCCGAAGGCTGCTCCCACATATATTTTGAATAGTTTTGTATCGGAATACTAAAAAGAATTTGAGGGTTCACTTGGGAAAAAATATGAATTTTTAAGGAGACAGCAGGATATTGTATATCAAATTTAATCAAAACAATTTACTGACTACCTCTCTTGGGTACTATAGGTAACTGATAAATGAAAGATCCACTGTTTTTATCGTGAATTATGTACATTATAATATCTGATCATTGTGGGGCACTCTGCGATTAATTATTATTTTTCTATAGGATCTATGATCACATCGTTCAAATATTGAGTAAAGTTGGAGTCGGGAAAGCCCTATTCCCATACTAGATAGAAAAAAGCTGATATGGTACCAGTTGATCAATTCACATGACAAACTCAATGTTGAAGACTTCATATCGATATCTATCTTCGTTTCATGGTTATGAGGTGATTTTCGAAAATATGAATTTTCAAAAAGTAGCTGAAACTCATTTAGTTTTCAAAAATTCTTCGTTTCCATAAAAACATTTCCAAAGCATTGTGTTTGACACCCTATATCTAGTCTCAAAATATAACTTCTCCTTCGAGAAGAACAAGTTATATTCTTGAACAGGATATAGGAACTCAATGCTTTGTATTTATTTTCATGAGAACATACAATTTTTGCAACCATAAAAGCGTGTTTTTCCAATTTTTCGAACTACCATTTATATATTTTCTACCTCCTTTCAGTTCGGTAATCTTTCTCTTTAATTTTTTGAACTAGTATTCATTTTCTACTTCAACTTTGGCTATCTTTGAAAGCGTATTTCATCAGTTTTTCGAAACACTATATTTAACACAAAACTCGTTCGACATATTGAATCGACCATCTTGAATTTTCCAATTTTGACAAAAAAATCAAAATATTCGACCTCAAAAATCCCCAGATACTAAATTTGAATATAAACGGATTATAATTACAAAACTCGTTCGCTATATTGGATCCACCAACTGAATTTTCCAATTTACATGAGAATCACAATCCTCGACCCCAAAAATCCCCAGATACCAATTTTGAATATGAACGGATTATAGTTACAAAACTCGTCCGCCATATTGTACCCGTCATCTTGAATTTCTTAATTTTTTCTCTCATCGGAACCTCCTTCTGACAATAACAAACACAACAAAAACAGATTTTCGTTCCTTCATAAACAATTGTGGAAATGACTTTGAGTTTCTCTGTATTTAAAAAAAAAGATTTAGTGAAATCGGTCAAGTCGTTTACGATTCTATAAAGGGCATACAGGCTACTCATAAAGCCCTAGCAGAAAGGAGAATTCCAATAAACTTGTCAAGACCTGGTATAAAGAAGATAAAGAATCCACAGTATAGAGAATACATTTGACACTCACATGACAGGTTGGAAAGGTGTCCTCTGCGTGAAAAGGAAAAGTTTGTTGCTATGCAACGTTCCAAGTAATTTGAATGAAATTGGTAATCAAAATTGAGACTGACATTGGGTGAATACAAAATGATGGAATTTTCGATAAAACAATTATGCCAAATTTGATTGAGAACATTTAGAGAAAAAATTATATGTCTCAGACGGCAGAAAATGTAGATTGACTGCCTTAGCGGAATTCCTAGCCTCGCTTCGCACGGCTATGAACTATCAGCCGCGGCAGTCAATTTACTACTTTGCTGCCTAGTTAAACAAAGTACTATTCTCAGAGTTGGAGATATTATTTTTCGATCCTTAACAGATATAATTCAATATTCTTTGGCATTAGCCAAGAAAGTAGTTTCTGTTACATATATTTTAACAATGATTTTTTTAAAAACTTATTCAGCTATTAAATTGATGTCCAACCATTTTCCTCAAATGAATACAATGGATTTATAGAGTGTTCAAAAATGATAAAAAAGAATTGAGCTTTTAAGACATAAGAAGAGAGTGTCAAAATTTGACATCAAATCTTTACTCCGTCGGATCCTTTGCGCAAGGGTCCAACAGAAAGTTTACAGAAAAAATCTCCTTATTATTGTGAACTATATACCAACTTCCTTATACCAGAACTGACTGTATTCTGTATAAATAAATGAATATATGATATTGATAACAGGCTTTTACGAAAGTGTAAAGTGTAAAGATATATAGAAAACTATTGGGTATTGTAGTTTTATCGATATTTTTTTTTTATTTTTTAACTCCGCTATAGTGTCTAGAAAATCTTCACCAGGTTGATGATTTTTCAACTACATCATTTTTTGTGTACCAACTCTAATGTAGTTGTAGATGAGATTCGGGTAACGGATTCGGGGTGTTACCTAACTATGGGACGAAACTTCAGAGGGTGAGTTCATATTTATGTCCGTAGTTATTTGGTTATGAGATACAGCAGGACGTTGACATTTGAAAGAAACCCTCTGAACTGATTTGAGTCAAATCTGATAACTAGCTCGAAATAAGTACCAAGTTTGAGACAAACGGGCGAGATGTTTATAAATACCCACATATGTATTTACGAACTTTTTTCTAAAAAAGATCTCACAAATCACGTGTTGAAATTCAGTACCGTAGTTAGGGGAACACCCTGTATAATAAAACAAAGCCTATACCCGTTATTTACTCACCAACATACGTAGGCACATCGAATCATCTACTGGAGAGGAACATGGAATGCAAGCTTTAGATCCAGGTTGATTTTGATATTGACCTGCTGGGCAAGTTTTGCAGAAAGCTTCGTCATCTCCACTAAAGGTATGTTTGGGACAAACAACTGAAAAATGAAACACATTCCAGAGTGTTAAAAAATCAATAAAATTTCCATTTGCATGGATCTTCGAAAGCCGAATGAAGCCATGTCGCTACAACTTTATTTCAAACTCTATACTTGTCGACTCATAAACGAACCTAGCACTACATATGATTGTAGTTTTCAAAGTTTACTCTAGATGATGATGTTTAGCTTGATTCATAAAATTATCCTAAACTCACCACATATTCTCTGTTTGAGTTTTTCAACTCCATATCCTCCTTTGCAAACTGTAATAAGTTTGGGACGTTTAACAAGTTCATTTTTTCTTTCGGAAATCGTAATATTCGTGAGAAAATCTAGAGCTGGAGTGATTTTCGAGAACACTAGAAAAAATAGAAAGTTAGGAACTATTTTCTGCGATATTTGATGATTGCATTCTACCTGGTAGAGTTTTCAGAATAGCAGCATTCTTGTTAACTAATCCGACCATGTTGTTGTATGTTTTTAGTTTGCAATTGTTATTGCACCTGGATTCATCCATTGTGGGGAAAATATGATTGATTTCATTCATAGTAGCTACTACAGTTATATTGAAGAAGTTGTTGTCAATCTGAAATAATTATTTTTAATAACTTTGTTGAGTTAAGTGAGTTAGTCAATATATCTTACATCCGTGAAACAATGGGGCCTTTCCACATCTACTTTGCAAAGCTTTCCAGTAGCTCCGCATAATATTGGACTTATCAATTTTGGGAGGTAGTTATATAAAAGATCACCATCAGAAAGTGAACAACTGTCATTGAATGCATAGAAAAGGATTGTTTTGATTTTGTAGATAGGAAATGTGATCAATTCTAGTTCATGGTTGTGTTTTTCCTTGTTTCCGGTCTCCTCTGTTTTGACACAAGTATAGTTTCCTGCGTTTTTAATATCGACTTCTTGCAATATTAAAGGATTCTCATTCATTGGAAGTGCATCTCCTAATTGTAAAAAAATAATATAATTATATAACTGTCACCTATGAATCAGAATAAACTTAATGATATACAAGCTGGCTGACAAAAAATACACCGATTGTCCGATTTTGAAAAACAGAAAAGCAAATGAAATGACTCATCAGCACTAGGAATAATTTCAGCGACTGTCAATTGAATCATATAGGTAGTTTTTATAATTTGTATGACAAGTTGAAAGGGTTATCAATCGAAAATGCTCACCCCTATATTAACACAAGTTGAAATTCAGAGTTACAAGTTGTAATTTCAAGTTATGAGTTAGACAAGTCGGAAGTTTCAAGTTGAAATTCCAGATTACGAATTCGTGTTCTGAGATAAAAGTGATAATTACTACTTAGACGTTGTGATTCCGAACTGGTATTACGAGAAAAAAGTAGAAATTTGAAGTTACAAGTCGGAATCCATCCAAAGTTACGAGTTAAGTTAGAATTCCGAGATACAAGTCGGCATTATAAAATAGAAAAATGTGGCTCATTCACGCCTCCGTACTTGCCTTCTGCAGTAGAATCATTCCTGAATGTCCAAGAATAAGATGCGCCTTTATTTTCCGAGAGCATATCAGCTTTGTTGTGACAAAATATCTTGATGGTTGATCCAGGATACGCGTAAATATTGGAATCTGATACCTGCAGATCGTATTCATCATCCAGAACATTCTCGATATCATCATTTTCAATATAATTCGAAGTTCTTCCGAGACTATTCAGATATAAAAGACTTCGTCTTTTACGTTCCAAGCGTTGTGTCCCATTGCTTATTATCAGTCCATCGTGAAAACTGATGAGGTTAGAGCAGTTATAGTGAGTAACGTCCACCTTTTGATCATTGGAGATGGTTGATTCGACTTTCGACAAATATGAGTCGACATCACAAACGCAATATCTGTTGGAACTAAAGTCACTTTGTTTGCAAGGTTTACCATCACCTTTGAGAATCAGCGGTTTCGTAATTTCTGCTTCGGCGGATACATTGGTATGGCTTTTGGAACCTTTGGAAATATTGAAAAAATCGATGTATTCTAGATCAATATCCGACCTCGTTTTGTTGAGGAGCTTTTCCAGGGCAGTTTCATTGATTTTATCAATTTTTTTACCGGAATTATTGACTATTACCACCATCATTTTAGTGTTGGTGTCTGGATACTCCGAAGAATGCAATTTTGGTACCAAACCAGCTGCATGAGTGGTAACTTTCTTGAATCTAGAAACTTCTTGTTCTCCTGTGACGTTCTGTTGTTCTGTAGCCGTTTTCATGATGGAATTTTCATCTTCAACTCCAATTTCAGTAAGAATTTCTTTTTCTTCCATCAACTCTTCAGATGATTCTTTTGCAACATTAGTAGTGAGGTGAATGTGGGAAATTTTTTCAGTAATGTCTTCTAGTGTATTTGCAGTTTCATGTAAAGTGCCTCCTTCTTCTTTGACCCGTGTCGTAGTATATTTTGTAGTAGTTTCACCCTTTGTACTTCCTTGTTCTTCAGGAACCTGAGTAGTGACTCGGGTAGAGGAACCTATTTTGGTGATATTTTTGATATTTTCTGTTGTAGATTTTTTGTGAGATACTTTCTTTGTCTCTTCTGTTTCTTCTTTACCTGACAGTGAAGTATTCGTTTTCCCTATAATTTGTTCTCTTGTGGAAATTCCTGTAGTGATTTCTGAATTCAGTATAATTTTTCCTGTAGTCTGTTCTATTTTGAAATTAATTTCCTCTGCCGATTTTTCCACATGGATTGAAACTTTTTCCGTAGGCCATTCCTCAGTAGATATCACTTCCTTTGGAGATGTGCGTACTGTAGATTTTGTTTTATATGTGCTCAAATGAGTTGGAGAATGAGGTTTTACTGTGGTATATGGTGTTTTTTCATGATGTTTCGCTGTTGTTGATGCATGAATCTTATTTTCTGTCGACAACTGATTGCCAGTCATACATTCTTCACATAACGTATCATTTTTATCATTCTTGTGGAAATTGAATAGTTGATTTTCATCCACTTCTTCTGTAGTCTCTAGAGTTGCACTCATATGGGTTTTGGATTGAGACACATTTTCAAAATTTAATTTGACAGTGACAAACTGTGACGTTTCCAATGGTTGTGTACTTTCAATCACAGGGTTTACATTTTTTACAGATTCTCTTTCTGGAATTCTTTCATGGTTTTCTGTTGTTTTATCTCTGTCCTCACCAGTTTGTAGGGATTCCAAATGTAATTCAGTTGCTTGATGAATTACTCCATGATTTTCGGATGAATCCTCATTGTTGTTTGCAGATTTTGCAGACACCGATTCTGATATACCTTCATTTCCATCAGATATTGGAGATTTTGATTCAGAATCAATAGACCTCAGAGTTATTTCTGAGTTTTCTGATATTTCAGTATTTTCAGATATCGAAGTCTCAGATTCTGATTCATCTGATTTTGAGATGTCTTCTATTTCTTGGTGTTCAGTTGTTCCGTTTTCGGATTCAAGAAATTTCAACTCAGATTCAGTTGATTTCGAATTATCTATAAGTTCGGTTGTATCACCTCCTGCTTGAAGATTTGAATGCTCAATTTCTATTTCAGTTGAACCTGAAATTTCTTCACTGTATTCTGTTGTTCCACCTTCTGCCTCTACGGATTTCGAAGAATCCAAATCAGATTCATTTGATTCTGAATATTTTTCATTATATTCGGTGGATGATTCCTCATATTTTGAGGTTTCAGATTCTGAAATTGTTTGTTGGTATTCAGTTGTTTCACCTTCAGCTTCAGATTTCGAATATTCAAATTCAGGATTATATTCTTGCTGTTGAGTTGTTTCAGATTCATGAGATTTAGAAATATCTGACTTTGATTCCGTTGATTCCGTAATTGTATCCTGATGTTGATTCGTTTCACCATCAACTTCTTCAGATTTCGAAGATTCAAATTCAGAAATATATACTTGGTGTTCGGTTGTTACCCTTTCAGCTTCATGAGATTTTGAATTCTCGGATTCTGATTTAGGTAACTCCGTAATAATATCTTCATGATGTTCGGTTATTTCAACCTCAGATTCAGAAAACTCCGATTCTGAATCAGTTGACCCTGAAATATAATCTTGATGTTCTGTTTCTTCTTCAGATTCTATCGATTTCGATGACACATATCCTGTAATATGTTTTTGGTGTTCAGTTATCTCTGTTTCAGCTTCTTCAGATTCAGGATATTTTTCTGATTCGTTAGATTTTGAAATATTTCCATTGTGTTCGGTTGTTTCACTCTCAGTTTCCTCAGATTTATTAAACTCCAATTCTGATTCAGTTGATGTTGAAATATTTATATATTCGGTTGAAACACCTTCTGCTCCATGATTTGAATGTTGAGGTCCTAATTCAGTCGATTCTGAAATTTCCTCACGGTTTTCTGTTATTATAGTTTCTGCTCCTTCAGACTCCGACGATTTCGTAGCTGCTCCAATTGTTTCTGAAATATCTTCATTGTGTTCAGTTATTTTACTTCCTGTTTCTTCGAGTTCTGAGAACTTTAGCTCTGATTCAGTTGTTTTGGTGATGTCTCCATGGTTGTCAATGGTTTCATTCTCATCTTCTTCAGATTTCGAAGACTTAGAATCTGATATATATTCCAGGTGCTCAGTTGTTTCACTTTCAGCCTCATGAGAATTTAAAAACTGTGAATTTGATACAGTTGATGTATCTTCATGAAGTTCACCCGTTTTACCTTCTGCTTCTTCAGATTTTGAATTCTCAAATTCTGAAATATTTCCTTGATGTTCAGTGGTCTCCCCTGCAGATTCTGCAGATTCAGGAATTTCTGATCCTATTGATATTGAAATATTATCATTTTGTTCTATCGTCTCACTTTCTCCTTCAGAATTTGTAAGCTCAGATTCTGATCCAGTTGATTCTGAAATTTCTTCGTTGTATTTGGTTGATTTACTTTCTTTCCCTATGGAAGTTCCTGTTGCTGATTCTGAAGTTTCTTCAATGTGTTCGGTTGTTTCCCCTTTTGCTTCTCCTTCAGATTTTACAGTTTTAGGTTCTGAAATATATTTTCGATACTCAGTTGTTTTATCTTCAGATCCATTAGATTCTGGAAACCCTGATTGTGATTCAGTTAACATTGAATCTTCATGATGTTCACTTGTTTCACCTTCTGCTTCTTCAGATTTCGGAGACTCAAATTCTGAAATATCTTCTTGAAGCTCAGTGGTCCCACCTTCATTTTCTTCTGGTTTATTGAACTGTGATTCAGTTGATTTTGAGAAATTCTCATGTTCGATCGTCTCACTTTCTGCCTCAGAATTTGTGAGCTTTTCAAATTCTGATCTAGTTGATTCTGAAATTTTCTCGTTGTATTTGGTTGATTCACTTTCTTTCACTATGGATTTTAATGATCCCGTTGCTGTTTCTGAAGTTTCTTTATTGTGTTCGATTGTTTCACCTTCTGCTTCTTCAGATTTTGAAAATTTCGATTCTGATTCAGATGAGTTTGTGATCTCTTCATGATGTTCAGTTGTTTTACCTCCAGCTCCTTCAGATTTTGCAGATTCAGGTTCTGAAAAATATATTTGGTGTTCAGTTGTTCCACCTTCAGCTCCATTAGATTCTGGAAACCCCAATTCTGATTCAGTTGACATTGTGTCTTCGTGATGTTCACTTGTTTCACCTTCTGTTTCTTCAGATTTAGAATACTCCAGTTCTGAAATATCTTGTCGAAGTTCAGTGGTCTCACCTTCAGTTTCTTTAGATTTATTGAACTCTGGTTCAGAATTTGTAAGCTTTTCAGATTCTGATCCAGTTGATTCTGAAATTTCTTCGTTGTATTTGGTTGATTCAGTTTCTTTCTTCATGGATTTTAATGATCCTGTTGCTGTTTCTGAAGTTTCATTATTGTGTTCAATTGTTTCACCTTCTTCTTCTTCAGATTTTGAAAATTCCGATTCTGATTCAGATGAGTTTGTGATCTCTTCATGATGTTCACTTGTTTCACCTTCTGCTCCTTCAGATTTCGAAGACTCAAATTCTGGAGTGTGTTCTTGGAGTTCAGTAGTCTCACCTTTAGATTTTTCAGACTCATTGAACTCTGATTCAGTTGGATTTGAAAAATTCTCATTTTCTTCGATCGTCTCACTTTCTGCTTCAGAGTTTATAAGCTCAGATTCTGATCCAGTTGATTCTGAAATTTCTTCGCTGTATTTAGTTGATTCACTTTCTTTCTCTATGGATTTTATGGAACCGGTTTCTGATCCTGAAGTTTCTTTATCGTGGTCGGTTGTTTCACCTTCTGCTTCTTCAAATTTTGAAAATTTTAACTTCGATTCAGTTGAGTTTGTGATATCTCTATAGTTTTCAGTTGTTTCACCTTCATCTTCTTCATATTCTGTAGATTTAGGTTCTGAAATATGTTTTTGGTGCTCAGTTGTTCGACTTTCTGCTTCTTCAAATTCCGAAGACTCAAATTCTGAAATGTTTTCTTGAAGTTCAGTGGTCTCACCTCCAGTTTTTGCAGATTTATTGAACTCTGATTTAGTTGAATTCAAAAAATTCTCATTTTGTTCGATCGTCTCACTTTCTGCTTCAGACTTTATAAGATCAGATTCTGATGCAGTTGATTCTGAAATGTCTTCGTTATATTCGGTTGATTCACTTTCTCTCTCTATGGATTTTGAAGATTCAGTTGCAGAGTCTGTGGATTCTTTATTGCGTCCAGTTGTTTCACCTGCTTCTTCAGATTTTGCAAATTCCGATTCTGATTCAGTTGACATTATATCTCCATAATGTTCACTTGCTTCACCTTCTGCTTCTGCAGATTTTGAAGACTCAAATTCTGAAATATTTTCTTGAAGTTCAGTGGTCTCATCTTCATCTTCTTCAGATTCATGAAACTCTGATTCAGTTGATCTTGTGAATTTATCTGCTTCTGTTTCAGAGTTTATAAGGTCAGATTCAGATCCAGTAAATTCTGAAATTTCATTGCTGTATTTTGTGGATCCACTTCCTATTTCTACTGATTTTGTAGATTCCGTTGCTGATTCTGAACTTCCTCTATTGTATTCTGTTGTTTCTCCTTCAGCTCTTTCAGAAATATCAAATTCAGAAATATTTTCTTGGTGCTCAATTGTTTCATTTTCACCTTCTTCAGATCTTGTAAGTTCAGTTCCTGCTTTAGAGGATGTTTTGATGTCGTGATAATGTTTGGTGGTTTCACCGTCTTTTTCTGATGTTGAAGACCTATTTTTTAATGCATTATCTACGTGTTCAGTTGTTTTTTCGGTTTCGGTTGTTTTCCCTGCTTCTATTTCTTCAGATTTCGAAGACTTTGAATAATCTTCTAGATATTCTGTTGTTTCTCCTTCCGAGTTTTGATGCTTGGATTCTGATTCAGTAGATTGTGAAAGGTTTTCTAGATGTTTTACGTATTCTGTAATGGTTTCTTTTATTCTCGTGGTGGTATCATATCTGACAGTTGATATTTCTCTCGTTATTCCGTTGCACTCTTCACACACTGTAGAACTTTTCTTCTCATTGAAATGAAATATCTGAGCGGAATCATTATCTTCTGATGACTCAACTTCAGTTTTTTCAAATTCAGATATTTGAAAGTCTGATGTCAACTTTGTTGATTCTGTGATTTGTTTTTGACTTTTTGTAGCTAGTTTTGAGCTCACTTGTTTTTCATGCTTCAACTTTGATACTTCTTCTGTCAGAGTTTCACACTCCATGCATAATGTAGAGCCATGTTTATCCTCATGAAATCTGAATAACTGATTTGAATCATAATTGATCGATGATTCAATTTTTTTAGTAGATGCATCAGTTCTTTCTGGTTTTGGAGAACTTAATAATGATTTTGTAGACATCGTGGTAGTTTTGTGGTAGTTTGTTACTCCAGATTTAGGAAATTTCGATTCTATAGTTACCTTCCTCTGCTGTGTGCTTCCACTTCCAATTTTTTCATGTCCATTAGTGATTCCATTATTGAAGTCTGATTCAACACTTTTTGTCTTTTCACATTCTTGACATAAAGTTGAACTATGTTCATGTTCAGGAAAGTTAAATAGCTGAGCTGGAGCAACTTCTAATCTTATAGTATCTCTCCGTTCTGACTCATTTTTTGTAACGCGGCTGTGAAGTTCTGTGGTTTTCGCTTCATATTTTTCAGTTTTCGTAAATTTTTCAAGTGACTCTATTGAATTTGACGTTTCTTCAGGAAGTTTGTTTTCATATCCAGTTGCTGAGGGTACTAAGGAGCTTCTGGTTCGCTCTGGAATGTTAGGAAATTCTGACGTTTCTATTTCTCCAGTTGATGCAGATTCTAATTCATGTGTTTCTATCAATCTTTCAACGTATTCGGTACTTTCAGTACTCATGGACTTTGAGAGTGATTCCGTTGAGTATTCACCCATCTCTTCAATTGGATTATTTGAAATTGATTCATATGTTTCTGAAAATCCTTCATCTTGTTCTGTAGTTTTTTCTTCATTTTCTATAGTTGTACCAGCGTCTATGTGTTGTTTACCTGATTTTATTGACTTCGAGGCTTGATTAGTTTGTTCCGTAGTAGGAGACTCTGATTCTGATTCTGTAGATTCAGTAAATCCTTCATCGTATTCTATTATATCGACTGTTGAGATTTCTTCATCATGTTTGGTTTTGCCCCCTTTTTCCTCAAATAAGGGAGGTTCTGATTCAGTCGATTCGGAAATTCCTGCATGATGAACTACAGATGTTCCACCGTGTGTGTCCTCAGATACTGAACTTTTATATTCAGCGATAACTTCATGGTGTTCAATTGTTTCATTTTCAGCTTCCTCAGATTTGGAAAACTCAGATTCTGAAGTATTCTCTTGGTGCTCAGACGTTCCAGCTTCTGTTTCGTCAGATTCAGTTTTTTCACTTTCTGCATCTTTCAATTCTGGAGATCTAGTTTCTGAATTTGATCGATGGTGATCAGATGTTTCATCTTCAGATTCTTTTGTTTCTGAATACTCTGATTTTGATTCAGTTGAATTTGAAATTTCTGATAGGCGTTCAGTTATTCCATTTTCGGCTGCATCAGACTTTGGATGCTCAGTTTTTGATTTAGTAGATGAGGAAACTAATCCACGGTATTCTGTTGATTCATTTGTATCTACAGATCCTGAAGATTCTGTCGTAGAATTGATTGAGACGGAATTATTTTCATCATGTTCAGGTGTTTCATGTTCTGCTGTTTCAGATTGTGAAGACTCAGATTCTGAAGTATTGTCTTGATGTTCAGTTATTTCACTACCGAGTTTTCCAAATTCTGAAGACTCAGATTCTAGAAAATCCTCACCGGATTCTGTTGTTTTATCTCCTTTTTCTACAGGTTTCAGATATTTTGTAGCTGATTCAATTAATGATTCTGAATTATCTTCATTGTGTTCAGTTGTTTCATTTTCTGCATTGGCAGATATTGAAATCTTGAATTGAGAAGTAAGTTCATGGTTTTCAGTTATATCGCTTTCAGCTTCATTAGATCTTGGAGATTGAGATTCTGGATTATTATCCTGGCTTCCAGTTGTTTCAGTTTCATAATTTGAAGACTCAGATTCTGAAACATCTTCTTGATGTTCAGTAGTTTCTCCTCCGTCGGATTCAGTAAACCCCAATTTCAACTCAGTTGCCTTATAATTCACAGTTGTATCACCTTCAGCCTCTTCATATTCTGATTTTGTTGATTCTGATATACGTTTTTTGGAATCAGTTGATTTTGAAATGTCCTCCAGATATTCGGTAATTTCACTTTTCACTGCTTCTGATTCAGTTGATGCGGGAACTATATCGTGGTGATCTGTATCATGTCCCGTTCTAACAAATTTCGAAGGTTCTGTTGATAATTCGACCGATGATTCTGATTCATCTTCATTCTGTCCAGTTGTCTCATTTCCCAGTTCGTCAGCTGTTGAAGACTCAAATTCAGAAGTAATTTCATCGTGTTCATTTGTTCCACTTTCAGATTTTTCAGGCTCCGAAGATTCGAATTTTGAATTATTATCTTCGTGCTCTGTTGTTGCACTTTCAGATTCTGAATACACAGACTTTGAAACAGTTTCGACGTGTTCAGTCGTCTCTCCTTCAGCTCTTTCATATTCAGAAAACTCCGATTTCTGTTCAATTGATTCTGACATACTTCTATACTTTTCAGTTGTTTCCTCTTCAGCTTTTTCATGTGTTTCATTCACTCCTCCATAATAATTTGAAGACTCGTATTCAGGAGTAACTTCATGTTGTTCAGTTTGATCTGTTTCAGCTCCCTCAGATTTCGAAGACTCAAGTTCTGAATTAATGTTATGGTGTTCAGATGTTTCACTTTCAGTTTCCCCATATTTTGTGGACTCAAATTCTGAAATTTTGTCATGGTTTTCACTTGTTTCCCTTGAAACAACTCCTTCGTGCTCAATTGTTTCTCCTTCAGTTTCTTCAGATACAGAAAACTCTGATTTCGATTCAGTTGTTCCACCTTCAGCTTCTTTAGATTCAGAAAAATCCGATTCCAATTCTTTTTGTTCAGTTGTAACATCGTCAAATATTGAAGTCTCGTATCCGAGAGTGATTTCCTGATATTCAGTTGTTTCACTTTCAGCTTCTTCAGGTTTCGCAGGTTCAGATTCGGAAATGACTGTTTCCGTTGTTCTTTCAGTTTCTTTTGATTTCGAAGAATCTGATTTTGGAATATTGTCTTGTTGGTCAGTTATTTCACTTTTAGATCCTAATGATTCAGATTCTGAAACAGTTCCTGGGTATTCCATTGTTTCTCCATCAGCTTCTTCAGATTCAGGAAATTCCGATTCAGTTATTTCTGATATATTTGTTTCACCTCCTTCAGCATCTTGAGATTCGAAAAGAATCGATTCTAATTCATTTCGTCCAGTTGTTCCATTCTCTACTTCGTCAAATTTTGAATACTCATTCACAGGTGTAACTTTATGATATTCAGTTGTTTCACTTTCAGCTTTTTCAGATTTTATAGGCTCCAATTCTGAAACATTTTCTTGATTTTCGATTGTTTCACTTACAACATCTTCAGATTTCTGAGCCTCAGATTTTGAGATATTGTCTTGCTGTTCAGTTATTCCACTATCAAATTTTGAAAAGTCAGATTCTGAAACATCTTCTTGGTGTTCATTTTTTTCTACTCCAGCTTCAGGAAACTTCGGTGTTAATCCAGTTGCTTTCGACATGTTTTCGTAGTTTCCCGTTGTTTCACCTTCGCCTTTTCCAGATTCGACCGAATCCGATTCTAATTGATTGTGTTCAGTCGTTTTATTTTCTATTTCATCAGATTTCGAAAACTCGAATTTAGAAATAACTCCATAGTTTTTAGTTGATCCACTTCCAGCTTTTACTGATTCGGAAGACTCATATTCTGGAATATTGTCTTGGCGTTCAGTAGTTTCACTTCCATATTCTGAAAATTCAGATGTCGAAACAACTTCAGATTCAGTCAACTCCGAGCTTGATACAATTATTGCTTTTGACATATTTTCATATCTTTCAGTAGTTTCACCTCCAGTTTCTCCAAACTTGGGAACTTTCGATTCAAATTTATGTTCGGTTGCTTCATTTTCTACTTCTTCAGATTTTGAAGACTCGTACTCAGGAGTGAATTCATGATATTCATTTGTCCCACTCCCAACTTCTCCGGATTCTGCTGATTCAAATTCTGACATATTGATTTGGTGATCAGTTGATGTACTTCCAGTTTCTACAGATTCAGTTGTTTCCGATTCAGTTCCAAATTTTGAAATGTCTTCTTGGTATTTCATTATTGTATTACTTGTTCCTTCTGATTCAATTGATTCGGAAACTGCTTCACGATATTCTGTTTTTCCAGATTCTGTTTCAA